ACCTTTATTCTGTACATCACTTTACACAGGAAGATGTGGAAGAAGACCAAAACAGTAGGGGTAGTATCTGTTTAGCCTCTCTTAGCTGGACTGTTACACCAGCTCAAAGCAATCTATGGTTCCCTGGATAAAATCTACTTCCTCTAAACCTTTCCAGAAATGGAAAATAATGTTCATAGGTATGTTTCCATTAGTGTATAATCACTTGAAAAATAGAATTGTTGCATTTTTGTTACCTTAAAATGAGCTGCTTTTATCTACAGAGGTAGCAGGTGCTTTTTACCATGTTTCTATAATAGCCCAGAATGGACAGAACAAACACTGGCACTAGCTTGGGTCTTTCACGTTTCGCCGTAGTTTCTGGAAGGTGTTTAGTATTCAGTTGGTTGCAATCAGAAACTTCACCGCTAGATGCCACTGAATCCTACACATAGGACTGCCAGATTCATATTGCAATTTAGCAGCCTGAGGACACAAATGACTGTTCTGGCACACCTGAAACTAGCATTCCCTTTTCTATTCATTGAATCAAAAAACAAACAAAGAAATAGATATTTATTAGAGCTGGGGCATGCCTTACATTGATATTTGATTTTTTAAGATGTATAACATGATATAAAAAAACATTTATAAAGGCATGTTTATATGACAGCGAACATGAACAAGATGTCACATTGAAAATCTTTACATAAAATATAAACTTCACTTATTCAATTTGTTATTTCTGAACTCATCTCATTACTCTATTCTTTGAAGTTAAGAAATTAGGTTTCTTAAGACTGCTGTCTTAAAGGTTCACCTTTTTATGTGTACATGTTGAGTTGCTAATATTCCCAAAGGGTCTTTATTACCAAAGAAGGTCAAAGCCATGCAGAAAGTTGGAAACGTCTAAAAAGGTCTGGAGGTAAAGGCCAAGGATAACTTGGTGTAACAGCCAGGACATGATAAATCCAGCATCTGGATCAAACCCAAAAGGCCTGCTGTTGAAAGTTATACAATCAATAGGACAGGTCAAACCTTATGTCACAGAAATACTGTTTTTAAGTTCAGGTTCAAATTGACCTCTAAAAAAAAACAACAATAAAGAAAGTGTGTTGAGCAGATGCTATGCAGGTGTGCTGAACTTTTGATTTAACTACCGATTGGCTGAGTACTTTATTGTTTTGTTGTCAAAAGGAATGCCTCAAAGTAACTTTGCACTTTGAACCTTGAATATCTATAGATAGGGAAAAGAAAGTACAACAGCACATAAATTAAAATACAGAAGTGTTTCTTTTCTTCTATAATTAATTGTAATTCAATCAACTCATTCCAATTCATAATAATGTCAACATACAATACTCTTGTATTGTACGTTTACGTGTACGAGTATGTGTATGTGTATGTTTATGTTTATGTGGGCGTTTATGTTTATGTGGGCATGGCACAGCTCTCTCCCAGATTCACCATCCAATCTACCAACCTGCTCCAAGCCACTCACCTGCAACCCATCCACTAATCAACAGCAGTATATCAACCCCGGTACTTCAACCACTCTTGCCAGATCGCTGTATCACCCGCAGTGGTAGTTTGCATTTCTGGCACCTCGCATTGTGTATTCAAGTTTAATATATTATGTGTTTTATTTAGATTCTCTGATTGTTGACTAGGATCACCTGCCCTCCAGTATCTCTGCTGTTCTCATTTCCAGCCTTTGCCTTCTGTTCTGCCTCACCAACTTCAGCTCAAGGCTCCCCTCATCCCTGCATCCACATTCTTTCCCCTGAATAAATTATTTCCTGATTATTCATTTCCTGAGTCTGTGTCTGCATTTGGGTTCTTCCTTGTTGAGCGTCCCAGTAGCATATGATAATTTTGTATTGCCAAGGGTCTTGGGTCAGCATCAGGTCGTCCATCCTTGCCCTTGTTGCCAAGGTCTTGCTCATGGTCCGGTACTGTTGGGTCTCTGTAACCATGTTATAAGAGTTGCGGTCTAGACCTCGCTCTATGTTGATAAATGTCCTGACGAAACTTCTTTATGAGATTGGCAGATATACAAATAAATTGAATTGAATTGTCCACAGGTCCGGATCGAGTACTAACTAACGCTCCTGTGTAGGAACAGTCTAGAAGTAACTGAACAGAAAAGACAGAACACTCTGCTGTAAGCACCCATCTGATACAGGACATGACACAGTCTCGGCTATTCTGACACTAAAATCAC